CGGAGCAGGTCCGACTCTCCCACGGCGTTTCAGTGGCGACGTTTCCCTCGGGTGGCTGTCCTGCGACGGTAAGCACGAGTCTGGAGTGTTTCCATTAGTTGTCGTCGTGGTTCCGGCGAGTTTCTACAGCAACCCACGACCAGCAGCACCTTATCATAACTCCGGCGAAGTTCGACGCTTACCCACACTAAAACGAAGCTTGATTTGCGTTACCCACCCCCTTCGGCATTGATTCAACGTTGACCCACTCTTATTCGGACCCAAATCGGCATTACCCATTGCTTTTAGACATCGAAACAGCAAGCTTAAGGCCTTTTGAACTCAGATTTGGGAGCCCGAACCCCCTCGACGTCAACCCACCCTTAACCCAAGAGGTTTTAGTGTGAGTGAGTAGGTAACAACTCACCTTTATTGGATTTTGATTTAATTAAAGTGATTTTAGTTAGTTTCTAACTTAAGTCTGGTTGCCTATGGTGTAGGAAATCCTTCGGCAAGCTTAATAACGTGTCAAGGCACTTGTGTAAGTAGTTTCTTACTGGAGGGATTGGTTGTTGTGTGCCGATATGATATGGTTGTTTGCTCGTGTGCCCATGTGTGATATTTGCATGATTGCTTATCGTTGTTATCATTTAGTAAACGTCATTGTTGATAAAACTGTTGATATATCTCGAGAAAATTATGTGGTTGTGTGAATAAATTGTAACCAAGTAATCTTGGATGACTATGTTTGAATTGTTGTTATGTTTTAATTTGTTTTCATGATGAAAATATACTGGTACTATAATCTGTTATTTCGAAAGCATATTGAAGATTTATGAGAAATCAGTTGTGTTTGATGTATGCTGGGTATCTATCGATTATATTTTGGTTAAGTTGTTGGTTGTGCCTCTTTTGTGAATGATGCCTGTTGGAGCTGTTGGATCATGCTGGACTATTTTAAATTGGTTGGTTTTTACATATGATCATTTTGGTGTATCGCATATTGGACTGTTATGAGATTATTGATGCATGAGGCATGACGTAGTAGCAAGTAGGACTCTTGTGAGAGTTTTGAGACATAACAAAGTAAGTAGACAAGGGGCGTGCGGGTGCGTTAATGTGTGTTAGATGGTTTCTAATGTGCTGGTTTTGTGGTGTTTAATATTGATTTTGATACGCTATTGTGCCAGGTAACTCTCGTTTGTGTTAATCTGTATACTTGGAGTAGTATTGAATATTTGTCGGTGATAATGGT